TACAATTAGGCTTTGTGCTTAGCACACTGATTTAAAAAAGAATGTTCTCTAGTTTACAAATAAATAAAATACAGTTTAATACACCTGACTCAACAGATGCTGTATGAAAGCATCTGGACTAATAAGTGTAATTCAAGCATTCAGGAAGAATGCAGAATCATTTTAACAAAATGTAAGAGATGCTGAAAACATTTAGATACACATAATCTGATTATTATATTGTGTCTCATTTCATGAATACCACAGAGTAGTTACAGAAAAGAATTTAGCTAGACACACTAGTAAATTTGTGTTTGCTAATCTATGCACTTGAAAGCATTACAAATAAACATAGAGCATTTAGAATGTATAGGTTTCTATATGTTACTCTACTTCTGTAGTCTCTCTTGACTGGATTGCAGGTATGACAGGAAAATATATCACTCCTTGAAACTGGGCCAAATGTGCCTGAGTTATTCTTTGGAACATGTAGTAAAAGTAGTTCTGGCTTTTTAAAATACTGTGTTTCTAAAATAAGGGTTCCTTCACCTCTGTTTAGTTCATGAACTATGTGACAAATACTAAACACAAGAAAACCAAATTATTTATTGAAAAACTGTCACCAAATGGCCCTGTGTCTAAGCTTAATAAATTGTGCAAGACTTGTCATCTTTGCTGTATAAATAATTGCATTGCATAGTAGACCTAGAAAATTACATATTTATCACTTAATGGTGAATGCAAAAAGCCGTACATTAATCACAATAATATACTCTGTAATATGAGCATACACTGGAAAATGCTGACCAATGATATCATATAATTTTAAATGTATTATTCAATTTTGGGTGATACACTAGAATAGTAAAGATTTTTTTATGTGATTTAAGAGGAGAGTTTGCTCTTTTATGTCTGTATTTTGGGAAGTGGGAGATACTCAAATTTCAGTGTGCTTTTTGTTAAAGAATAATTTAAAGCTTATGTATTGGAGGTATTATTTATTGTGTGCTAATACTTGAACAACACTGAGCTGGAAAGAGTAAGCACTATCCTGTTCCTTCACCAACTGCTGATAAAACAGCCAAGTAACAGCAATAAAGGCAACTCTTACTATGTCTAATTGTTTCTTTCAGTTCATGCAAGTGTATTTTCTTCTAAGCAGAGCTGGAGATCAGCTGCATACTTCTGTTCAACATGCTCTCTGAAGCCATTTTAAATTTAAGTTCTTAGTCATACAATGATCTGATAATGCTGCAGTGTAATGATAGCCTTGCTTGTACTATTGTCTTGATGCATGCAAATGAAGATTAATGTTATCAGCTATTAATGACATGTAACTGTTAAAACTATAATGTCAGCTGTAAAGCCTCAAACAACACTTCCTTTCTCCCAACAATAAAGTAATCTGGTCTTAGTTACTTTGTGTTCAGTGGATTGTATATTACGCTAAAAGCTATAATACATAAAAAAGACTACCACTTAACACAGACTTCCTAAAATGTAAAAATCTAAGAAGTCCATGTTTTGATTTGGGAGTAAAAGAAAAAAAAAGAGCCAAACAAATCTAGACATATTAAAAAGCCCCCAACCTTCTGAATGCTAAAATACCATCCCACCCAAGACGAGATGTAAACATATCAATACTCATTTAGCAAACCCATTTTTCAGCCAAACATGAACCAACAACTTTAACTGCGAAAAGCCACCATGGTAATGGCCTAATGCTAATGCAAGAATGGGTTCTCAAAGCTCTTATAGGATTAGATTAGGAAGAAAAAGAGTAAATAATGTATAATGAGGAGGGACATTAGCTATGACATGCCACATAAGGCAAAGTTACAAGCTAGCAAAAGTCCAAATTGGTGTCTCAGAAAGTAAACCAAAAAAAACCAAAAAAGACTCTCAGATTAAAATAAACAGTTCGGTTTATCCTGTTGGAACCTGTTTGATTTTTTTTTTGTTACCCACAAAAAAAACAACCTACCCCACAACCAGTCCTGCTCTGTGCCATATTTCTCTCCCCATCCTCTCCTCTCCCCTCTACAGATGGACATGCACTGTGCTTCCCTCACCCCAACCACCAGCTACCACAATGCTATTGCCTCTCCTCAGCAACATGCTGATGCAGAGCTGATTAGTAGGGTTTTGGGAAGTCAGAGGTTCCAGGCAGAACTTTTGCAAATACAAGGCATCCCATACCTCAGAGGAAATGCAAAAAACCCATTCTTTTCCCTAGCTCCCACATGGTGAAGAAACCAGGGAAAAAGTCCTACCTCTACTCTTTCTCTCATTCCTCTAAAGTCAAAGCATATGAGAGACTACCTCTTCCCCACAGATAACCCACTAGCCCCTTTTCCAAGAGACTTAATAATGTTGTGACTCAAGTACTGTAATACAGTTATTAACAACATTAAGAGATTCCCCTGACATCAGTCAATGCTGAAGGATGCCGACTCATTGCTACAGAAGAACACCGTGAGCACACATTCCACCAAGTATCCTCCCTTTGGGAAGATTCAGTTTCTTAAAAATAGTGCTAAGAGGCAGAAATACATACAATTGTCAGGTGAAAAATGTAATTACTGAAGAAACCATGTAAGACCAAGCTAAAGCATGCTTCACATTCCTGAAAAACATAAAATGTGTTATTCCATGTTTTAATTGATATAATTTGTCCAATTTTGTAAACTGGGTCTACTGGAGGCTAAAAAGCTTGAAAGAAAAGTGTCTCACTTAATTCAGAACTTTTTTTATAACCTTTTCTGTGATATTAGGATCATTATGGTCCATGCTATAAATTGCTTAGATTCAGGAATGCATATCTCTGTCTGTGAAAATTCATACCCTCTATTAAACAGCAGCCTATTTTCCTTCATGTAGTTGTTCTAAGTACAGGTTAATTTATTAGTGTGGTCATTTAATAAACAATTTTCCCTTCTTGAAATTAAGATACATTTTATGATGGCCATCACGTACCCAATCTTTCTATTAATTCTATAGGAATTAATTTTATAGATTTTATAAGAATTAGGTAGAAGCTCAGTATTCAGGATACCCCTTTCATACAGGTGCACTCAGTTGTGTCTGCTAGCTTCAGTTCCAACTGGATTATTTGCTGCATGAGTGATTGAGAGATACCTGACCTGAAGACTAACGTGACTTTTCAGATTTCTGCCCAGCTGCATTATATTTCCTATGCTTTATCCTGCCCTTTATGTCCACTCTTGACAATACACAGTTGCTGTTTCTGTGCCACCTCTGAGTTTAGATTATGTTACATGTACAATGCATATATCACAATTCAATATGGTAACCAAAATAGGAAGCCTCTCCCTAATAAAATATTTAAAATGCATCTATCATAACAGTAGCTAGTTATCACAGGAGGTGGATATAACTACCAACAAGTTTGTCTTACTGCCTTGTATTTTTGAAAGTTAGTGACAGCATTTCCAAAAAAGCATTGCCCCTTGGAAATGAACAATATAACTAAAATTCCCACTAGAGAAGGAGGCGAATTTGCATCTGTACACACCAGAGTATTTTTATCTATACAGCTTTTGCTGTTAATGCTTTTGCTTGTTTAATGGTTGATATTTTCAAAGCTTTCTCTGCTTGATGGATATTTTCTTGTCAGTAACATTTAGATTTGGGATTGAAGATTACTGTTCTGTTCTTACAGTGAAATTAACTCCATTTCTTCAAAGAAGTTTTTGAAGTGTTTTTTATGTATGGTGGAAGTACGGATTGACAGCAGTGATCCTCTTCACTATTCTTATGATCAGCAGCTGTTAACCTATTTTTATCAACAACTTCATTGCTCCAAGAAACATTTCTGCAAAATGTGAATGCAGCTGGTGAGATCATTCCATGTGAGCAGTCTTCTCCGTATGAATGTTCACAAGCAGGCTTCCAAAAGAAAAAAAATCATCTCACTTCAAGAAGTAACCAGTTGCCAAGCCACCCTCCTACATCACACAAGGCCTCTTTTTCTTTCCACTCATGTTCCAGGTATGCACAACCCACTCAGGTCACAGATGGGCATCTCCCAGACACCTTCATGTCATCCCTCTGAGAGCTTCAGCATCCTCTCTTAAGGCCTTTGGTATGTTCCACAATATCCTAGGATGCCACTACTGCATACAGAACCCAAAATAAATGCTCAAAAATGGTATTCCCTTATCAGATGCAATCTCAGGTGTCTTTGCTTTCAGATTCAGATAAAAAGTATAAAAAGAACATTTTCTGACTGCAGCAAACACATAGACCGATATCACAACGTCAGTGAGGAAAGGATGGAGTTTCTAAAGTGGAAGAGGGTATTCGAAGCTCTACTGCCCTCTGTGTCTCTAGTAGCAGGCGCAAGAATGACTCTGACTCAGCCTTGCTACTCCACTAGAATCCTTTAGACATTCATGATCGGCACCTGCCGAGCATCAGATAAGTTGTTCTGCTGTATGAATTGTGGGCACAGTGTCAAATTATCCCCAAGAAATATTAAGGAAGGACCAAAAAATACAGCGAAACTCTACTGCTTTAAGAGAAGAAGAGAAGTGCTCAGAATGAGCACTGGAAACCATGACAGGGCATGAGAAATCCCAATACTTGGCTTGTGTAGGGAATACAGCTTGGCCTGCCACTGATTTCATCCTCTATGATCTGCCATCTGCTTTCTCTTGTTGTCTGATGCATCCCTGCTTTATGATCCCAACAAAGAACTTCAGAATTTATAGGTGCTCAACACATAAATTAATATGGAATAATACAAATTTCTTACAGATATATGAATGTTTTAGAGATATGGTATGCATACTATGGATGTGAAGGGCAAGAAAGCAGAACATCAATTCACTCAACTATTTTCTAGTTCTCATACTCTGTGTTTTTGCTAGTCATTGTTTCCATAGAGAGCGCCAAGAACAAACAGTACACATGTATGGACTTGATCCTCATGCAATGCACACATTTTTAATTTTTTTAAAATCTAACATGTCTACTGGGATCATCTTTGATACACCTACCAATAAACCCCGAGGAAGGAGGGTTGGGCTGTATCTTCTCTTTAGTGTTCTCCTGAATGATGTCCCAGAGCTGCCATATAAACTTTGGATGGAGGATGTAAAACGGCTGGGTTGGATTCTTCCTACGATGCTGGACATAGGGAGTGAACAGATTGTAGTCTGGCTTCTTATACCACTGGAAGGAAAAAAGTAAGATGTTTTTTAATCTAATAGTATCAAATGTGTTTTGAACACTACATGTACAATAACATAAACGGGCTTCATTTGGATTCTGCAGAACAGAAGCAAAGGTACAAAAGCAGCCTGCACTGGTAGATGTTTTTGCTAGAAAGGCATTCCTCACTCTGGGCTATTCTGTTTTCTTTCTTCATAGACTCCCAATAAATAATTGAGTGCTGTGGGATAAGCCAACCCTATCTCCCCCTCACAGATCCACATTAAAAAAGGGGTTCAAAGAGCCCTGACGTGAGATCTGGGCCTGAGGGTGAATCTTCCTCTGAAAGTGTCCCTGTCCCTGCCGGAGGCAGCAGCAGCACGAGGCAGACTGATGGCAGCCTGCGTAGGAGGCAGGCAGCCTCTAGCATCTGTTGCTAAGGGAGTTCAGCAGATGAAGGCTTGGTTTCTACTTTGCAGCCTGCTCAGTTCCAAGCTCCCTGTGCCAAAAGCCATCAGATCAACTTGTCTACTGGAGCTGCAGCAACAGCCAAAGCAGAGACTCCCCCAGTGACAACCAGGTGGACATATGCTGCTCTCGGTGAGGGGGTGGATGGCAGGGCACAGATGGCTGTGTGACAGTGGACATAAAGGGAAGACTGGTGGAGGATGAGGCCTTAGAAAGGGGGAAGAGATTTTCACTAGGATGTATTTTGTTTGGGAAGGCAGAAGGGAAGGTGGGGAAAAATGGATGCAATTTTTCACCTTTCCTGATAAAACCTCCTTCTGAAATCTAGCGATGTTCCCTCCTTGGCAAGCACACAGAAAACTCACTGTTATGTGAAAATAACAATGCTTTTTCAAACAAACGCCATCATCCATCTATCCTAGCATCTCAGAACAGTGCATTCTAGGACAAATGCTACAGAAAAGTTTTTGACCAATAAACCAGCTTTGACCAATTCATGAAGAAATAGCATTCTCCACTCAGATGAAGACAGACCCTGGGGTTCATCATGAAAAGTGAGAACAAGGAGACTATAGTGGTAAATACATTCATTTTTTTCCACTGTTTTCAACTGATTGGGAAGAAAGGTCTAAGCGGACATCTTACCACATTCAGGTTTGCGGAGTAGGGAGCAGGATCCCAGGCAACTAAGACAACATCTTTATACAAGGAGCTGTCAACAAAGTGATGGTTTGGATTGGTGAGAATCTGCAAACATAGATGCAAAGAATTGGACACCATTAAAAGCATGTGGGATCCAGAAAAATGCAAAATCCTTATCTAAAATAAACAGTCCTACCCAGGTTGCTATTTGTTCTGCTTTAGTTCTGGTGGATTTTAAGCATCTTGTTTTGTTAAGAAAACATATAAAAAAAGAGCTTAACCATAAACAGCAGTCATGACAGTTTGAATTGGCAGTATGCTGAATTACTCTCCATCTGTGAGGGATGCGATGGGACCACTTGAGATGCTGCATAATTGTATATCAACATTACCTTGTATTCTGGAACTTGAAAATGAAAGGTACATTATTTTAAGACCGCCTGCAGGATCCTCTTAGACACAGAGCAGCTTTCTTTGAAGGGCTACAGCCCCCAAGGGTAATGTCTTTCCTGCTGCCCACCCCCTACCAACTTTGTGGTCGCTTTCTCATTTTAACAGCAAGTCAGTCTCATTTCAAGTAACTCCAGAAAGGCAAATTAGACCGTGACTGTACAGGCTTGGTATACCTAAAAAACCAGTTCCAACAGCAGGCACACAATAGGGCTATATTTGAAGTAACTGTCATTTTGCTCAAATTGACTGCTCTCATATAACTCCTTCCTGCATCTCCTGGTACTCTGCCTGATCCTCCTACCCCACTGGAAGTTTACTCTTCGCTCCTGCTGGCTCACCCCTTCCAGAACCCTCCATGTGTAACCAGATCTCTTTGATCCCTGGTACCTCCAATGTCAGGCAGGTTCAAGCTGAATGACTTCAGCACTAGTCGAAACAGCATGAATTTGGTTCCAGCTGTTAAACTAATCAACATTCCAGACAAATAAATTCATATTAATTTTCATTTCCCTTTAGGATCCAATGAGTCGTATTTGATTATGCATATTTTTCTTCAGAAAAACAATATTGTTGCCATAGCAATATTTTCCCTACCATAAACTTTGAGCTTAATGATTTCCATCAGCCTTCTACAACAAGAACAGAATTAGTCATATTGCTATCAGCATCCCCAACTCCATTTCTCAGAGCAGTTTTCACCTCAGAATGTAAACTCCTTTTATGAGAGAACAGAGTAAACAGACCAAAAGGTCAAGATTTTAAAAGCTCAGTTCCAGAGTTACCACACAAAGGAGCTCTTACTTGCCTTTCAGGAAGCAAGAGCCCTTTGGAGGTAGCGTTCACACAAATTTCGCTCTCAGTGAGTCTGCATTCATATGTATGAGTTTTTTCCTGCAATAACAATATATGTTGTGGCTGCATAGTCTTCTTTCATGTCCTTTGAGCTTTGACAGCAGAGAATATGAGGGAAGTGGGCCACAGCAGTCTTTTTATCAAGTGAATATAGGAATTTTCAACATCAAGGAGGAAAGGAGGGTCAGTAAACCTGTATAGGTAACCCAGCTTCAGTACTGGTAGGGAAAGCCACTTTCATCACGTGGTCTGTGCAGATTTCACTCTCAGAGAGGACAACACTAGTTTCTCAGCAGGTGGCCAGAGTATCACCGGTGGTTTCTGACCTCTCTGAAGGTGCAGAAAGGTGGTGGGAATACAAGCACTTGTGAGGAAGCTGTGTGAGCTGACCCGGCAAGAACTTCAGCATGCCCTCTATTTTCTGTTTCTTACAGGGAGTAAGCCTTATACAGTGCAGAAGAGAAGACCATGGGACCCTCCATTACCACGCCAGTGGCGGCATACTGCAGCAGCTCTGGGAGCCAGGACTCCAGTCTGCCCTGCCGTGAGCAGTGGAGAGCAGCTAGTTTAACTATTTAATGTCTCAGAATTCGCTGGAGAGCTTACAAAGCTCAGATCACTCCCTGAGAGCATTTCTCTCTTCTGCTACAGGACTAGGGGATTGGATTTTGGGGCTATCTCAAACCATGACAGGAGCCTACTGAGTCTAGTCAATTGTAAGAATTTTCTAAACTCTTCTCCTTGCCTGGCACAAGTTCAGGCATGGTCAGCACCAGGACATTTTGGCAAACACTAAAACAGAGAACCATCAAGGAAAGGAAAAAAACCAACAAAACCCAAAAAAGTAAAATCATTTACATGAAAATCCATGTTCTCTGATACACCAATTTCAGCACTAAAGCCAGAATAAGATATTTCTGCTTTCTTCCCCAAACAAAAGAAAGGGGGCATATTTAATCCAGATCACGATGGCAAAGAACATGAGTTTATACACACAAAGAACACACTCACCTAAAGAGGAAGAAAAAAATGAACTCATAAGAATCACAGTAACTGAAAATTTTGTTATCCTTCAGCAAGAATCAGTATGCACAGAGCATGCTTACATGGCCAACCATACTATTGGTGTTGACTAAGTAAACATTTCAATATGTCATAAAATTTCACAGTAATTCTGTTGTTGCTTTTTGTCTGCATTTCATGAAGAGAAAAGAGGTTTGGTTTGCCCAAGACTGGAATTCAGGCAATAGCTTTTTCAAAATTGAAAAACTACTCTCAACCATAAGGTGTCACTGTAGCTCAATGCACGGTTATTTGTTGACACCCATATGCAGAAAATCCCATTTTCTGTTTCCATTCAGATGAACAAACTCGCCTAATGTGTAATAATTAGTGTACATTAAAGTTCTTTACTAGTTCATTCTAAATTTTTGAAGAATGATGACTTAAGTTACACATTAAGACAACTCAGTTTCCATTTCTTTTGCCTTCCAGCAAGAAAATAATTGGAGAACTGGAAAATATGAGAAAAGAGCTTTGGGATCACCACAGCCTGGATTTTGTGAAGATCCTGCAGACAGTGTGGCAAAGGTCTTCTATACTGACAGCTCTGGCATCCTGCAGAGCCTTTGCAGATGCAGGACACATGAGAAACTTTACAAACCACTTCTTGAAATGAGGCTATCAAGTAACTACCACAATCACTCTACACTGACAGCAGTGTGAACATCCCTGTAAGGGAAAACTTTTACCTTCTCTACATCATGACTGTTGAATCACTAGCAGCTTCACAGATTACCCAACACTTTCTCAGAGGTTATTAATTTAATGTCATATTGTACAGAAGTGACATTGACTTGAATTCACAGAAGGAAGATCTTACCTGAGAGTTAATGATCCGCATGGTTGTTTTATTTCCAACATCTTTTTCATAGCCACGTGTTGGAGCAGAATTAAATCTTAAAACGGCATCATGAGAATCTAGGAGCATAAATGAAGGGGTTACTTGTTTTTCTTAGTAAATAGAACAGTAAAATAAAACAAATTATCTAAACCAGTGCAAAATTTACACCTTTCTCCTAATCTTGATATGTTAAGGATGATAAACATTCTACTATGCGCAAACAAAGTCCTCTTGCATCTGCCATATGTTATTAACATAAAATCCAGTGAAAAACAAGTTCAGAACCGCCTATTAATTTAGCTTGCAATACTTAAATACTTCTCTTAATTGGATAAACTTAATGTGGGAAGATTATTAGTACACCCAGTACAGACAATTGCTCACTACTTCTGTCACAAAATTTACAAAGAATTATTCTATGCAAAAGCATGTACACTACAAAGATATCTAATTGCACATTTGAATGAATAACAATGCTTAACCATAAGCTTGTGTTTCACAGTATTTTGTAATACCTGAAAATCCCAGACTACCCCAAGCCTATTAATCATACCATGTACTTATTCTCAAACTCAGTCTTAAAGAGCCTCTGTAGGGAAGCCAGCCCACATATCTGCTCACACACAAAAACCATTTTAAAGATCTTAGAAGTTTGGGGTTTGATCACAGATCCCTGTTACTTCCCAATGATGCCAAAATAACTGGTTCTCTCATTAAACAGCATGATCACGATGGGAGTGTGTGTTATACTTGCACAGTATTTCCATACCTACTTTCATTTAGGAAGAAATTCTTTACAGAGAGGGTAATCAGGCATTGGAATGGGCTGCCCAGGGAAGCGGTGGATTCTCTTTCACTGGAGGTTTTTAGGATGAGACTGGATGTGGCACTCAGAGCCATGGTCTAGTAACCACAGCGGTATTGGATCAAGGGTTGGACTTGATGATCTCGGAGGTCCCTTCCAACCCAGCTGATTCTATGATTTAAAAATAGTCGGAGAGGTAGGGGAAAGGAGGGCAAAAGGTGGAAAATAAATTAACATTTTTGCTTGTGTTGCTAATAGGAACACAGAAGAGGGAGCTAAAGGCCTATGAAGGGAAGAGTCCTTTGCTGCTGCTTTCTTATGCCTTTTTTCCCCTTTGGAGAGTAAATCACAGAATGGTTTGGGTTGGGAGGGACCTTAAAGATCATCTGGTTCCAATCCCACTGCCATGGGCAGGGACACCTTGCACTAGACCAGGTTGCTTGGAGCTCCATCCAGCCTGGCCTTGAACTTTTCCAGGCATGGGGCATCCACAACTTCTTTGGGCAATCTGTTCCAGTGCATCATCACCCTCATAGTAAAGAATTTCTCCCTAACATCTAATCTAAGTTTCCCCTCTTCTAGCTTAAAACCACTCCCCCTTGTTCTGTCACTATCAGGGGCCTGCATAAAAAGGCCCCTCTCCATCTGTTTTTTGTAAACCCATCTTAAGTTCTGAAAGTAAGGACTTTTGGCTGTAGCAATGTCATCAACCAAGGTTGTACAGCCCTAAACCCAGAAGTCATGTATGGAGTGTTCTCCCCACTGTTGCTGACTTTGCCGTGCCTATGTGGACACGGAGGTGCTCAGCAGGAATGGCAGGCTGAGTCCACAGAGCAGCACCTCTGGTGCCTCCAAACTGTCAGGTTCACTTGCATTTTCAACCAAGAGCTGGTAGCACTCGTGCCAGGTCTGGGAGAGGGCAGTCTTCCCCTACAGCTGTGCATGCACAGGGATAAAGAGCATTCTTAACTTTTTCTCTGTGGTCAGACTATCACTTTTTCAAGGATTAGAGAGAAGGTGGAAAGGCACGGTCAAGAGCTCAGCTGTAACACACACTATCTGGACTCTGCAGGGGGAATTAAAACTTCAATAATACAAACAAGCTGGAGCTTCCGTTTTCCATTTTAAGTGGGAAACACTGGCATGACATGGACCTGTTGTAACAAGTCCAGAGAAGGGTCACTAAGATGATCAGACAGGGCTGGAGTACCTCTCCTATGAAGACAGGCTGAATTAAGGTTGTTCAGACTGGAGAGGAGAAGGCTCCAGGGAGACCTTATAGTAGTTTCCAGTACCTAAAGAAGACCTACAGAAAAGCTGGAGAGGGACTTCTTATGAAGATGTGTAGGGGCAATGTAGGGGCAATGTCTTTAAACTGAAAGAGTGCAAGTTTAGATTAGATATAAGGAAGAAATTCTGTACTGTGAGTGTTGTGAGGTGTGGGAGAATGTAAATACTACGAATCCTGGAAAGAACGACTTTAGAAGTGGGTCCATCACAACAGCAACTCTCCGGGATCGAGTGGAGTGGAAAAACACCGACGATTCACGTTTTTATTGCATGGTTTTCCCTGGACTATGTAATTCCCCTACCCCCACGGCCCCTGCCCACACAGCGCCATGTTCTCTCCCCTCCCCGAACCGGTCCCCACCCCTGCACAAGCATTATTGGTTGTCTCATCCGCTTCTCCCCAATCCCTGGCTTGTTATTGAACTTTGGTCCTCCTGTATCCCCCATTGTTTAGCAGAGCCCTCAAGCCACTCCCTTTTCCCCAGACCTTGGCCCAATCACATTCCTCCTTCTAAGCCCTCCCCCAGAGACCTTAAAAGCCCACGGGAGTTTCAAATAAACCACTTTTCGCCCCTGGAATCCAAAGAGGAGACTTGGTGGCTCTTTCCTTCTTCTGAAGGGGGATCACGCCACTGAGACCCTCTCCGAGAAACCACGAGCGAGGAGTCGCTCAAATAAACTCTGTTAGTGAGGCACTGGAACAGGTTACCCAGAGAAGTTATGGATGCCTCATCCCTGGAACTGTTCAAGGCCAGGTTTGATGGGGCCCTGAGCAACCTGATTTAGTGGATCTAGTGTAGACCTTATCAAAACCCATCTCCTCCCTTTAGGCAGCATCAGATGAAAATTTCCCAATTAAATCAAAAGCCCTTCTGTAGAAAATGGCATAAGCTTCTGTGCCCAGAATCTTCCTAAGAAAATGGGTACACACAGGAGTGAGCAGAGCCCAGGTACTATGTCAAGCATCAAAGTCCATACCTGGGCTGCACCTGAATGTGCAAATATGACATGAAGCATGCTGTAATACAAAATTATGTAAATATGTCACAACGTGCTATGGATTCTCCAGTACAGCACTAATCCATACTACTGTAAACTGGGTACCAGGGAACACTGACAGAAGATTCTGTTTCACACAAGGATAACATGTTGGAGAAGGGAGGAACTGTTAAGCTTTTTCACCTCAAAGATTTCTAAATTAGTGAATTTAGAATTTCACATTCTTCATGTGAAATTGGGGGTTACCCAGGTGTGATTTTAGCTGCAGGCCAGCCGGGCACCTCTGCTGTGCTGGAAGCATAATAGTTTGATAACACTAGCAGATCTAACATATCCCAGAGATTTAAAGGAAACCTGTATGAAACCCATCTGTGTCATAGAGATGATACCATGTGATAAAGTTCTGTGATGTGAAGTCCTGGAACATGCAAGGATTAATGAGTGAACACCAAAAGGTTTTTATAAAGAGCTGAAGGAGATAACTCTTCTTGTTCCAGAAACAAGTTTTAGACATACATTTCCTCCTTCTTTCAACCCATTTAGCATACTGCACATGTTCTACTAAAATGAAGACCTACTAAGACGATAACACAGTAGCGTAGTAGCATTCATTTTTAAAAAGAAAAAATAAAACTGACCTGAATTAGTTTTATGGTCCCACAATCCTTTTCTGAATAGCTACCACAAAACTCCCACCCTGAGGTGGGACATCTCAGCAAACCTGCAAGCTCACTGACTCAGTGCAGCAATGGAAAAACAATAGGTGAAGGTACTTGAACTCATTTAAATTCAGTCTCAGAAAAGAGGTCCGGGGACTTGATCTCAGTGCATGAAGCTACACAAGGGTGTGAATTCTTTATGTCTGTGAACTCTAAACATGCAAGAGATGAAGAAGACACTCTACTGCTTTTTGTCATAGAGACAAAGTTCAGTTTGGGACAGTAATATAACAGCAATTCCTCTATGAGCCACTGCAAAATAAAGACCAGTACAACACCGCTCTGCAGAATAAAACCTGAATAAGACTTTGATCTGCTAAAAATAAACGCATGTTGCAGAAAAATGTTGAATACAGCAGACCTGATGAAACCAGTGCCTCCTTCATACTGCAGGCTGTAATATGACAAGAAAGCATAATTGTTTTTTTAAAATTAAATTATGACTTCAGGCCTGATTTTGTTTTCAGTTATATTGTCCTGAAAAGGAACAGCTTCACTAAGTCCATAAGTTTGCATTCAATGCAACTCTGGGGAGAGAGAACAACCAGACTTTACAGATCTATGCTTGAGGAGAATGAACCTTTTGAAAGATGAACACGAACACACACATATACATATATATACATGTGAACAGATGCATTTCACCCACCTATTTCATCTCCTAGAGAGGAGTTCAGTATTGCACCAGCAGACATAACTACTGCACAGCTCCCAAAGCCATGTGTATATAATTTGCCCAGTGGAATTTGGGGAACGTGCTTTTCCCATCCAAGAGTGGAGAATGGAGCCTCCTTGCCATCTATTGTTTTCACATTCACTCTTTCTTTTAGCTCACAGAATAGCTGGTCTCCTGTCAACTTGGAGTTTCGTTTCCCCTTGAACCGCACCCCATGCTTATTGGTACTCAAATAATCTTTCATCGCCTTCTGCAGTCGAGGGTTTAGCATTTTGGATGAGACATCCCCCTTCCAAAGCTTGTAAAGAAAGGATTTCGACATTGTAGAATACAGCCCATCCCAGTCATCAGATTCATCAAGCATCTGGCTTCTCCTATGCTTTATGCTCCTTCTCCTCATTCTTCTCTGATGGCTCCAGTTGTTCTGCAAAATATTTACTTCTGCATTATTCACATCAGCTGAGATGAATTTTTCTATCTCTTGAAGGTGGCTGTGTGACCGAGGCTGACCAGCAGCAAATAAATAATCATCATTCACTTGGTAATCACTTTTTGATTTTCTTCCTAACTGGGATGGAAAAAATTCATCTTCATTTCTAAAGGCATCTTCCAATACAGTCCATTTCTTAGAACTTCCAGTCCCTGATTTAAATGTACCTAAGAGATCTTCATTAAGAAGTACCTCATTCCCATCAATGGTTTCAGAGAATGATGGATCATGAATGGCTCCCATGATGACTCTCTGCTTGCCTTGAAGGGGCAGAAGTCTCTTAGTTTCAATGTAAGAAAAGGAACTTGGAACTGGTTCAGCAGTGTTGCTATCTGTAAAATAGATGAACATCACCAGAAAAAGAAGACCCCATGCAAAGATACCAAACAGCATGAGTTGTTTCCATTGCTTCAAGTTAGGTTTCATGGCAATGCCTTTACCAGCTCCTCTGTGCCTTGAAGTATTGGTGAAGGAAAATGAAACCTGTAGAAAACATCAAGTACTATTAAAAATTGTTCTAAAAATAGATACAATTCAGAAATATTTTAACACACATTGATAGAAGGTGCAGAATTAATCTCCAAGCTGCAGCAAGAAGATTCAGTAGCAGAAACAAACTCCAGAGCCTGCAGACACTGTAGGAGTGACAGGCTTTGGCTGTAACCACACCGTGACAGCTGCTAGCTACAAAAGCTGGTGGCCAGTTTCTACAGTAACACTGGATCCTGCCTTCAGGGAGATCATGTGCCTGCCTGCTTCTGATATACCCAGTGTAGCATTAAGAGAGCAAAAGCAAAACCTATGCCTGGCTGCATGCACAGTGGGAACAATATTAGCTGTCTTCTCTTTTGCCATTGAAAGTCCTAATGTAGTGGAACTGTGAGCAAGGCTGTCCCCAGAGGGACTAGGCAGGGACAAACTTTAAGCTGGCAGCCATCCTCTGCCCACAGCCTGGAAAGGATGGTGCTCTGTGGATATCATCAGGGGGCATAAGGGGGCATTCTACCAGAGGGGAACCTTTTCCTCAGCTGGTATGAACTGGCACATCACGAGTGGCTATTTGTTGCCCAGTACCAGACTCAAGTAAGAATGACTGCTGTACCTCTGCCATGGATGCTTGGATGCTGCATACCCACTGAGTTGGAATGAAGGAGTTCTGCACATCAGGGTCTGAGGGGTTTGTATTTTCCAAAAAGGAGAATGGATGGCACAACTATCTAAACACATTCCTTTAGGATAATATAGAGATTTACATAAAGGGGGCGGGTAGAGAATGCCAGAACCTGGAAATCTGTGCTCTACTAATATCTGGGGGTTTTGGACAGCTTGTGCATTAGTGCAGGCATGCATGGTCCAAATGAAATAAAGTCTGACCGAGGGGGCTGTATTCCAAGGAAAATACACTAACACACTGCTGGACCATCAAGCACGCTAAGCCCTTACATGAACCCACTTTCTTAATCAAGTGGTGTGGGCATCGGTTACAAAGCTGACTGAAGAAAGTACAGCCCTTCCCTATCATAAATCTTTACCATTCACCTCCCTGCACCATAGTCATCATCAGCCTCAGTTGCTACACTTCAGTGTAAATCAGTGTGCTAATTAGAGACAGATCACTTAACTGATCTGAATGTAAAAAGAAGCCCCTTCTTCTGAAGTTTTCTTTCTAACCCTATTTGTTTCAAGAGCCACTTAATGGTGGGACTTAAGAGTCACTTGTACCAGCCAGATGCGATTAGGAAAGGAGAAGGGGCGTAGGGGCAGGCTTGGCTTTCATTACCAGCCTGTGCCTCAGGAGCCACCACCTCATCAGATCACATCTGAACAGCACACACAGCTTACACACCTCTGATATCACACTGCCTGCCCACACCTGACCATCACGAGGGACCAAACCCAGTCACCATACGCTGTCACCTTTCTGCAAGCTGCTGAAGTACATCAAAGCTAAGTGCAAAGTTTAGATCAAAGCTATAACTAAAGCTGTGTTTTCACATAAAAAACCCCCCAGTAATAACACCAGTATAAGATGTTCCCCGCTCTGTCCCATATTCCTGCAATGTGCCTCTGCTGCTGGCAATACCCCTGTGTACAGGGCTGGCATATTACAAACTGAACCAGTAAACTGATACAGCAGAGGAGTTTTTTTTGTTTTAGCTTTGTTTTGTTTTGTTGGGTTTTTTTTAAACTGGGTCAGCCCCTTTATCCACCACAGTGTGGTCACACAGCCAGTTGTTTCAGCACAAACAGGGAAATCGCCTACCACAATGCAGAGGCGAGAACAAACTGCAGGTTTTGTATTAACAGGGATAATTCAGGCTAGCATTTCTGCTGACCTCCTGAGAATGTGAGACTGCAGTATTACATTTCCAAACACAGTCTATTTTAACGATCTAGAAAAAGCCTAGAACATTTGGCTCAAGGCAATGTACAAACAGAGAGAGAATTCATAAAGTTACACTTGGATGACACAATTTTATTGCAAACACATTCATTTCTAATACACTGAAAAAAAAAAATCATGACTGTGATAACCCAGTGCTCCACACACATTTGGCTTGGCTCACAGAAACCACATGGGAGAAAGCTATTACTCCAACTAACCCATTTCCTACTTGCACTCTGCTGCTGCAAGATTTTTCTCTGCAGTACCTCGACACTCCCCCCTCTTCTAATTTTAAATCACTGCAGGTGATGTCCTGTGGGAGTTGCCTTACAATATATGGCTGTTGTGCAAGTGAGGTCTACCCTGAACTTACTGCAACCTGCCCACTCATCAGTGTTCAGATGGTTTGCATTTTTAAATCAGCATTCTTCACCCATCTGAACTGCTTCCATCCCTTGTTATCATTTTCCCTGATATGTTTCCCAAGCACTTTTCAACACGTGGCTTCCAAACCACTGTGTAAGTTAGCCTTTGCTCAGTCAGATGTTTCTCCTGCTGAATATACATTTCTTACAGGATTGCAGTGGTAGCATCTTGCATAATCTTTTTAACAGATAAGCTTGCAGGAAGTCAAAGTTATAAAGGAAGAGGTCACTAAAATTTTTCTGAGTTATTGAGTCACGTAACAAGTCCAGCCACAATTTAAAGATAATCCATAACAAAATCTCATGTTTTTCTCATTTTTTTCCCAAGCTTTGTTGTATCTTATAAACAGAATGTTTTGATAAGAAACCAAAAGGTTTAGTCTTACTTCAGGTGCGAGACTACAAAACTTTCTAATTGTCTGTGATCGCATGTGTTTGGTGCAGCAGACTGCCTCAGCATAAAAAATTAGTCAGGACTCCTAAATTCAATATTCAGGTTAAAATCTGACAAAGGACTGAGATGCATTATTAATTATTTTTAAATTAAGGTAAACTAATTTCCGTCCCCCACCCTCAACACTTAGGTCATGAAAGCACACTCATCTTGGTCAGCATGGACATATAAGCATGCATATGATTACCTTCTTTGTGCAGAAAAAAATCATCTGTGTAAAATAAAAAAACAGCATACAACAGGATATTTGTCAACGCTGCAAGCAAAAGGAGAGGGACCAATGAGAATAAATCCAAAAACTTTACACATTAGCCACCACAGAAGCTTATCTGCAATTCCTCGTTGCAAGTGGGGCCTCAAAAAGGATACTCAAATCTCTTGAAGACCAGAGCTATGCAGGCAAATCTCTGTGCTGCTTTAATGTTTTTTTGCTCACAAGAAATGCCTTGTCCTCCAGCAGTACAGCTGAGCTGGAAATGAATTCAAGGTCATTACTGTATTAGTTGCAAGAGGACTTCTACAACCTCACAGGATCTTGAAAGCTGTGTGTGGAAAGCTGCACTAAGTCCAGAGAAATATCAGTTTATCTTATCTCCCTCTACTATAAACATCCAGTCCTCTCCCCCTCAGCCCCTGCAGCTTCTCACACCTCACAGTCTCTGACTTTGAGAATGTCTGGGAGGAGAGGGCAGTCCTTTCGCATGCTCCCCACCACCCTCCTGCTGGCAGCAGACCCCTGCGCTGCTCACAGGGGTATATTCCTCTTTACCACCTGGGGATGCACTTGGATTCTTGCCCTGTGCTGCTGAAGGCAGCACATCTCAATAGAAAAGAAAAAACATTTGTGTAGGACACCAGAAATGATGATTGCAGTGAATTACACTGGCCAAATAAATAAAAACAGGTGGCTTCATGGGTGCAATTACTGAAATTCACTGGATGCTTCAGGAATAAACTTCCATCTCTCTCTTATTTACGCTCATCATACAGCTTCCAAACTGTTAAAGCAATTCTACACAAGTTTTTAAATTATCATTAATGTTTCTCATTCCAGCTTCACCATCCCTGCCATAATAATCCTCTCTACTTACAGACAATGGAGACTGCTGGAGTCAAAGCTCTTGCTAAGGAGGACCAAAGGAATAAGTCTACCCCTGGGGGAAACACCCAAGACTTAACCCAACCCAGCTTCCTCTTCAGCAGAAATAATAAGCCTGTTTGCCCCAGAGGCTGAAGATTTCATTTTCTTACATATCTCCCTTCTGATGGGCTCTTTCAATCATTAACTGATTTCAGTTCCAACTACCATATGGAGAACAGCTTTTTTCTTACCCAGTCTGGCTGTTTGCACAAAAGCCACGGAAAACATTAGACAAGGTACGAACCAGTGAAGTGGGCAGAAAGGGGAGACTTATTTGCTTAAGAGAAATACTAGCAGCAGCTATGAAAAAGAAAGGCAAACCCTAGTGGTATCTTTGATGCATCCCAGGAAATAAAGACAATTCCCCAGTGAAAATTAAAGGCTGATTTTCAAGAAACGGCACCCACTTGTGGGAAATTTCATTTTGCTATGCTAAGATGCAAGAAACCAATGAGTTCTCTCTCCCTTTATAAAGCCCATTGTTTTGCAACAAGGAGCACTTTTCATTTTTCTGAAGTAGGCCTCCTGACTATTTCTTAAATGAGAAGAGATGGATGAGGGAGATTTTTTTTATTCCTTTGAAACATTCCTTCCTTTCAACACTGTCTATTGTTAAAATTAATTTGTACAGACCCTGGCAGCTCAGAGGTCAGGATGGTTCAAGTTGATGTGCTAAGATGTGCACTGTTATGTTAAACAGGGTTTTTCTTGGCTGCAGCTTTACAGCGAGAAGGTCACCTCAGGGTTATTTGGGGTAGCAAATGTTAGCCGTGGGCAACCATTCCCAAAGGGCTGAGAATCAGACCAAGGTTTACTTGATGGAAAGCTTAGGCGGCCTGAACAGACAGCAAATGCTCCTTTAGTTTGCTTCATCTCTCAGTCAGCTAATTCCAGCGTATTAAGAAACCTCTGGCATAGGGCAAGACGGCTGGAGGCTGCATTTCCAGGGTGGGGAATACACTCGTCCTCTCATGTAGGGAGTGCCAAATTGGTTTTAGTGTTATCGCATCATTTCTGCGGTGGAAGCCACACAGTAGTCAGCAACAGACAGGCAAGACTGCGGGGAGTGGTGACTGC